ACCAAATTTATGTTCAGTGTGACTGTCTGTGACTAGGTCAATCTCAAGTCACAATCAGTCAAAGTCGGTTACAATCGATCACAATTAACACAGAATTGGTCACAACCAGTCACAATAAATACATAATTGGTCACAAAGGGTCACCACAAACAAATATATACATACCGTAGACCAGCATTACAATCCACCACCGCTATCACCTCCAATGTATCACCACTACCTCCTTCAACTCAAATTCACGACAACGAACTCCGAACTGATGTTTAACTAAAACTCTTCTTTGCACCACCACTACCACTTTCAACTAAAATCCACGAGCATAGATATTATGTTCATCTCAAATCCACAACAACAATCATCGTCATCATCACTTCCACCAACACCTTCAACAAACACCAACCATCGCACCACCAACATCATCGCACCATAACCACCGCCACCAAATGTAGAACGACACAACTCCAGATTTACACCACCCACAGATCAAATTCGTGAGTCAAGGACAATACATTTAATTTAAGTATAACCAAACAACCCTTCGCTCAAAACACCACCAGTCCCACACACACTTTTCCTCGACGCCCGACGTTCTCCATTTTCCTCTCTACAATGGTGGCTTCTCCCATTTTCAGATCATCCTTCCTCTCCCCCCATCTCCTTCAACACCACTTATCCACTACAGCTAAACCCCCTGCCACTGCACACTTTACTCCAATAAAAGCCACCACCTCTTTCGACCTGCTACGACACTCCACCCGCACCACAATCATCTCACCAAGCACCGATGCTCAGCTGACGAGAATATCCGGGACAACGCCGCTCAAAACTTCTCCACCAAGTACGTGCCATTTAACACCGACCCCACATTGACCGAGTCCTATTTTCTCCGGCATCTTCATCGGTGGTGGGGTGAGGAGATTTGGGTTGCAGGCGGCGATAATAGGGATAGAGGGAGAAGAAAGAGAAGAGGGGAGAGAGAGAGAGAGAGAGAGAGAGAGATGAATTGAGGTGTCGGGATTGAAATTTTGGTTTTGGGTTGGGGTTGAGGTGGGGGTGGATGGTGGGTTATAATAAATATTTATTAACAATTTTATTAAATCTATATTACCACCTGATTTTTGAATTGTAAACTTCACCTTCATTGTTTTTGAATTGTAATTTTGAAAAGAAGGGTTTTAGGTAATTTTCTCATTTATTTTCCAATAAAAATATCAATTTTCCATCCAAATTCATACTTTAAAGTGTTTGATTGCTATTTTTTTTATATAAAATATTTTTCAACTTTTAAAAATATGCATAATTTTCCTTATTTTTAAGGAAAATATTTTTTTTTTTGGAGTAGTATTTCGTTTTTCTCAAAATAAGAAAAATATTTT